TCGAAACCCGGTTTCTAGCGTTGTAAGTCTGCAGACATACCGCTGTGCCACTGATGGTGAAGTCAATTTGACCACATATCTAGACCGAATTTTAACAAACCCTACATTGAACATGGAGGTAGTCTGCCAAGGCTACATTTAAGCAGATGAAGCCAAGAGTTGCATCATGGGACTTGACATTTACTTTTCTCATGAAAAAAAAAAATTTCAAGATGTGCCTGATTCATGAGCTTTTGCCAACTATAAACACTTCTTTATATTTTTTACTAAATATATGACAATTTTCATCGCAATTTCTATTTGGGCCAGAAGGTTCTCTTTTACAAAATACATTTCATTACTCCAAATTTTCTCGGGGAGTGGCTTCGGAGTCCACTGCTGGCTTAAACGGTATGATATGTGAGTTTTATACTTGCAAGGAGAACAATCAATATTTTCTTTCGAAATGTTGTGTCATGTGTTCTACTTCCTTTAAATTAATAATCTTTCTACATGAAGACATATCTTCGGAAAGAGCGGTCATATCCTTTAAGCTGTAATTCTATTTATGGCGGCATTGTACCGTCGAATGGCCGCAAGCCAAGTATACAGGGCATAAACATAAAGCCTGTGGCACCACGGTTAGTAACTGCGTAAACATTCCACTTCATTAGTACAGTGTATAAGCATAACATTATAGTAAAGTCCAGTTAACTCTCTGTAGGTAACAATGGAGAAGCATATAAACGAAACAAACAAAAAACAAAACTGCTAACAGTTTTAAAAATAAAAGAAATGAAACCTAAACATTGCTCAAAACGTGTAATGAGGAAAATGACATAACTAAATCAACAATATCAGTTTACTCTGACAAACGTCTGTTAAGAAATTTACAATATTATGTTTTTTTAATTAATCGTTAGCAGTTGGTAAATTGTGTATGTTTAATGGAAAGCGTGACATGATATTTCTAAGAACTTATAGTTCGACATAGGATAGACGTTTCGGCACACATGTACTTACCTCAATCAAACTGATCTGATGAAGCAACTGCAAGTTTGTTAAAAATGTGATCCTGGATCAGTTTTGCTAAAATTAAATGTCCCTTATACGTAAACAACATCAAAAGCTTGCATTTTTATTCTTACAATCAGCGCCTTATAATTTTGTCTTTGAAACTTAAGTCGCAAACAGATAAAATTCAATAAGTGAACACGGTTATCAACTTCATTGTGATTGACTTAGCTCATCCGTTTTAAATATCAATCGCAAACAAACCAAAGTTCAAATTAAAAGCAAAAAACAAACAAACTACGAATGAATTAAAAACAAATCAAAAACACAGAAACCAATAATTGATTGACTAATATTCTAACCTCCGAATATGGAACCGTCCAAGCATTTGGAGATGATCTTGACAGTTCGGTACTGCCTATCATTTTGTAAGATATTCCATGAGCTGGTATACCGACTATTAGTTTCTCTCTCTGGACCCCTAGCGACAGCATCAGATCAACTAAAGAGTCCTGGAAACCACAGTGCAGTTGGAATCAAACAAGAACAAATATATTTGTAAATTATTTCATGTTTACATTTTATGTACGCCTTTAGCACGGAAAGTAAACTCAAGCAATAGCCTGTGAGTATTTAATAAAATTATCATAAAAATACCGAATTACACATGACATCGTTCTATGAAATATTTAGATAATCATAATAAGGTGATTGTAAAACTATTCAAAAGCAAAGTTGGGAAATGTACAAGATGTCACGGCTATAGGAATTACTCGTGTTGCTTTTCAAAATATGATTTGTCTTATAAAATTTCAAAAAATCAAGTGATGTATTGTAAAGGAATGAATTTTTAATAATTTATAAACCTAATAGACTACCTATCAAGTATACCTTTCTGCTCAGTATGAAAGCTTAACGTCGAAGTCAGTTGGTAAACTTAATATTATTTATTTCAAATTGACCCACGTTGCGACGTAAAGCTATTTATTTTGAGACTCGCCATCATTTACCCAAAAATCATATCATACATCATTTTCCCCAAAATCAGATCATATACTAAAAAAATAAGATCATACCATATTCTCCATGTCTCCTACTCCATGTAAGCGTGCCGGATGACTGAAATCACTTCCTCTTTTGTTGGCCACCAGGTCAAAGGCTGGTAGATTAAAAAAGTCCACGTAGCTAGACGTAAATAAAATTGATCAGCTGTATACCACTACGACAACTCCAGAAGCAGATTTCCTATCTTTAACATTACGTGGCTAAAATATGCCACAATAAACCACAAACTGAACGCGGTTGTAGATGGAATTATTGTATTATCCACCTCTGACTACTCTAAGACATTTCCTTTCACAAACTTACCACAATTCTAAAAAATATTTTCAACTAGTTGTTGCAAACATCCAGTTCACTTTTTTTCTCATTTTTGTTGAACCTGTTGTTTTGACCTAAAAAAGTATCTTACTATATGAAACACAAATTTGTCACCACCGATAGTTCCGGTTTTGAATATCGCTATGTAAAACGTAAAAATATTAGAAATAAGTTCACAGAATATATGAATAATTTGGAAGAAATCTGACAATAGCAAAAAAAAAAGCGCTTATGGTGCATATTTTATACACTTCATCATTCGGCTGTATAACTTGTATTATGATTCAATGTGCTAAAGCATATCTGGGATATTTTCGTTTACGGCAACCAATAACTGGCAGTGTTACCGAAGATTGTCCGTCTTCTGTGGAAAATTGTTTAAATAAGTATATTTCGTCTTTGCGTATTCAATAAAACTGCTAACTTGTTTGTTTGTTTTTTGTAATAATTTCCAACTTTTAGTTTTTGTATTTAAATTTTAACTTCAAAATTGGGTCCATTACAGCCATGTATAGCTTTGATTTATATGGAATACTGTACGAAGTCTCAAAAACATGCCACTGACCTTGATAAGTGACCAAAATTATAGCCGTTGATGAGACTAAATGGATGTCTGGACACTGTTACTCCAATAATTCTGTCACTGGAGGCGATTTTCTTATCCAAAGCTTCTCGTATTGCCTGAAGTAAAAAACTTTTTATTGAAAACACTTTAACTCTGGAGGTTGACTGGAGTTTAAAGTTCAATAAGAAACAATACAATTGTTCGTTAGAAAAGCAGTGTTACGTTGGCATTTACCAACCTTTAACAAAAGAGTGACTCCTTCCTTATGGGGGTCCAGTTTGTCCAATCTGTTGTGTCGCCTATACTGGACATCGATGACCACACCATCCACATGGAAGTTGTCTACAAACTTACGCACAGATTCTGCAAATCTCTCTAAGGCTTTGGGTTCAACAACATTTTCTTCTTTCGAAGTCGTATTTTTATCATTCTCGGTTTGAACTCCCCGTAAAGATACCAGCACTTTAACTTGTGGGTTGATTTGTTTCAACAGAGTTAGCGCCTTTAACTCCTCTATAGAAGGAGAAATTACAAAACAAATAGCAAGGAGAAATGTAGTATCCGGGACAGAAATTGTATAGATAAATACTAATAACAATATCTACTTAGACATGCGACTTCAATTAACATTTTTTAAAGGTCGTGATGACCTGAAGGAAATCACTGAATTAATTATATTATACTTCTAATGTACTGAAACGATCCAAAAGACTAGAATCATTCTCAAAACTTGCTATAGAATCAATTTTATCATTAATTTACTTTCATAATAGTAAATTATTATTATTAATGAAACGAAGGTGACTTCACAACGAAGTTTACACAATTGGCTCTCTGCAATGTGTCCACAGCGGGGTATCGAACCCTGGATTTTAATTTTATAAGTCCTTAAACTTACTGCTGATCCACCAGGGTTCCCAACAATAGAAACACGATTTTTTTATAAATGTTTCGACGATAACCCTATCAAATCTGCCCCCGGTGGTTCAGCGGTAAGTTTACGAACTTACGACGACATATATATCTATATACATATAGTCGTAAAACTGTACTTGTTACGACGGGAACTCGACGATGAACAAATTACGATGATTGTTTTTCTATTGTTGTTTGTTTTATATTAAGCACAAAGCTACACAATGGGCTATCTGTGCTCTGCCCACCACAGGTATCGAAACCCGGATTCTAACGTTGTAAGTCCGCAGCTATACCGCTGTGCTACTGGGGGGCTATTTGTTGTTAAGTGCATAGCTACATAAATGGGTTATCTGTACTGCGCCTACTGCGGGTATCGAAACCCATTGTTTAACGTTATCAGCAATCAGATTTATCGCTGAGACACTGGGGAGCAGTTGTGTTGAAATAAATATTCATGTAACTTTTATAAATAAAATGATACTATCTACTCATTATTTATTTGAAGTTTATGTGTACGTCACAATTATATGTATATAAATCCCTGTATAATAGTTATTTTGCACCTTATTATATAATATATGGGGGACATACTTTCAATGGAATCCTTCTATTTAAATACCTCATCGTACTGTACCAAGCTAGCTGTGAGTGTGAACAAACAATTACAGCCTTTTGAAGTATTTAGTTGTCACAGCGTAAATGACAATATAAAGGATTTATCTTGATCAGAACGTGATTTTCCATCACAAGCAGTAAAACAATTTTCAATTTGGGAGCATCTTATTTGCTATGTAAACCATGACTATTGAATTCAGAGTTGAAATAGCAACTTTCCTTGATAATCATGTACAACTCTCTGTTCCCCATTCAAAGGAAAACTTCCCTATCTAGTAAAAAGTTGGAACGTGCCCTACGATACCGCTACCTATTTTTTACAACAGGCGTTTGCCTGGTCAGTACGGTGTAGAACAGTAGGTAAGATACTTACCCATTCATATTGCAACAAGAAACGAGACCGCTGGCCGTTCTGTACGTTTAAATACGCCATGTTTGTGTTAAGGATATTGATTCAACACAAAGATATGGCGGATCATGGAATTAGTGTTTATTTATGGTCCAAATGCACCATGTTTGTGTTAAGGATATTGATTTCATACAAAAATATGGCGGATCGTGGACTTACTGTTATTTGTGGTGGAAAAGGGGGTTCGTTTGCACTTCCTGAATCCCTTTTGGCGACGTTCCTGTTTACACATAAGTTTTGTTTTCTGAAAATGTATATTTCTTTCTTAGATTTTTGCCCATTTAAATTAACATGATAACGTTTATTCAATTATCTGCAAGCTTTTCTTGTCTTCTTGAAATAAAAATTCGAACCCAACTATCTTAGAAAAGAGTAATCGCACCCCTAAAATTAAATATTACTTACCGCCTGGCACTGAAGAAAGAGTTAGATTTGGAAGGATACCCCAGTAATCATAAACCAGATGAGTGCAGAGACACGGGTTGATGGAGTCTATCTTGAAAGAGTCATCTTCAGCGTTGAAATAACAGAAGATTTTTTTCTCCACTGAGCTATTTACATCACAGCCTTCTGCAGCGACAACAACAAAACATTATAAAACTGTAGAAGATCCAAGCAATAAATAAATAAAATCATATTAGTTACCATGTGTTACTTTGTTATTATCTCAAAAATTAATTAGCTGTGTTTCTAAAAATGCTCGAATCAGCATAAAGCTATTAGATGGTTCAAGGGACCAATATCTATCCGTCACTCAGTAATTACACTTTTACGAATGTATTTAGTATTGTTACTCTACGTTTTTCGTTTTATTTTTAATTTATAGAATAGTGGGTAGTGAACTGTAGCCTACTTTATAATAAAATCAAAGATTAGGAGCACAGATATGAGTTAATGACTAAAGAACCACCACCTCCTTGATATCACTATGTTACCTACTTTCTTCTACTATATGACATGACCTAAATGAACTTGACTCGGGTTTAACCTACTTTATGTCTTTATAAAAACACAGCAAAAAATGTAAACGCAGACAGTTTTTATTACATTTTAATCTTAATTCAGCACAGTGACTTTGAACTTTGAACTTGACTTAGTGATTGATAACGAATATATATATATTTTACTATATATATATATATATATATACCTGTAACATTACTAGTGGAAGCAGCGTTAGACCAGGGGAACAACAAGAGCGCCACCACTAAGATGTCGAAACAGGATCTAAACATCTAAGTGAAAGAAAAAAACTAAGTTAGTATTCAAATTTGTTAGCTTGGACTTTTAATACTTGAAATTAAGCATCAAATATTACCCGTATCATCCAAAGAAGATTTTATTGTATTAGATCGAAAACATCAAAGACTACAGATTATTATTCTTGTTAGTTACGATAATGCTATTTAAACAGTATCGTTCACTGCTTTATGTTGGTTTATCAATAAGTTCTATTCCAATAAAAATCGTGTATTGTGAGTTCACAAAAAAAAAAAACGTCTATAACATGTTTGCGTAGAAATTGTTTTGTTTTTAATTTTTGGAATAATTACTAGAATTTTGTGCTTTCTTAAGTTCTTCTTTTATTAATTAAGTTAAAGCGTACAAGAAAAAAGGTTAATCAAAAAGCTCATATGAAGAATTCTAAGTTTCATACTCGCATTAATGATGTTCAGCATTTTAGTCGTTGCTTTCTGCCAGGTAAATTCTAAGACTGGTGAGAAAACAAAATGTACACGTAGACGTACTGAAAAACAGAAGCTTCCGTACCAGTAGTATATATTAAAAATACTTATAATATTTAAAACTGTGGTAGTCACAAATATATATACACCCAAAAAGTTTTTAAATAATAAGTATTGTTTGAAATATACAACACTCAATTAATGTTTTTATGTCTTAAAAATAGGACGTTCTTTATATAGTACTTTAGTTATAGTCAAAAACTTGTTTTTTCTTTTACCCCTTCTAGAGACTTTTTAATGTCCTATATAAGATCACAACACGTTTTACTCTTAATTCACATCACACCAGATCGCGCTATTCAAAACAGTTCACTAAAGTAGGTGAAAAATAATGTTGTAAATCATCCTTTTTGCGTCAGGGGGCGCTTTTGTAATCGGGTCACTGCTGCTTAAGAAACAAGTGGTTCTTTACGATCTTGACGAATTCACTTTCCTTGCAGTTTGTAGTCGAATACTTTTGAAGTCTCAGAAATGTGTATTTTTAAGGTGTTTTATGTACCAACCTATAGAGGTATTAATAAAATAGTAAGTGATGGCATATTCGTCCAAACGTTTTGCTGGAACTTTATTTAAATATATAAAAAATCCTATGAAATATCAAGGTGTTACTGCACATCCTGTCCTAAAGTTAGAGTGAGTCTGAAAAGCGTCTTTGGTATCGTACATATTATCTAGTGTACAGTACTACTTTTAGTAGTTTACTTACATAAAAAAAAACATAATACTCATAAATTCTGTTGTTTCAAATACACACCTTTTTATCTTGATACTCAATATCGTCGTAACATAATTATTCTAAGTATTAATTTTTCTGAAAACGCTAGGAATGCAATACTAAACACATATTTACAGTTTTACTGAATCAAACGCCACCTTCAGTGACTGGAATGTAAGGACGACATTTTAATTGTTTTCTGACAATATATCACACAGGTGGTGTATTAAAGACATTGCTGAAATAGCTCGCTTGGTGATATTGTGTTTAAACTGTGACTACGTTTCGATCCATCCCGCTTATCTTCGTCAGTGGATCGAAATTTAGTCAACCCACCAATTTACCAGGCATGTAATCCATTTCAACAACTTTCTACTAAATGCCACCTACTATGTCTTTCAAACAATGTACGTTTAGCTTTAAAATATTCAAGGATGTTCCTACATTAAACATTTAAAATGTCACATGTTTCAGTTCTCTCTGACAAATGACTCTAAGGATATAAAGCAACATACCGTCAATAAACAGTTTGTATGCACTCGATTAACAGAGAAAAAAAAATCCCTAAAATGGGCAAAGTTAGCAGAGCTAAAAAAATAATCAAGTTTCGATAGTTGTAACTGGTACTCGGTATGAGGGTCCACGATATGAGGCGTTGCCTTATAACTTGTATTCGAACTAACAAACAAAAGGTGTTCCTCTCAGCTGATAGTTTGGACACCTTAGTAACACGTATCAAATTTTATCAAGAACTTTTATTTGGGTTACAAAAGTTGACACACAAGGCTCGACATTAATAGTCAGCCAGATTAAGTAGTTTTGTTTTCAAAGTTCGAACTAAGCCAACAGGTTCTCCACATTAATATAACTTATGTTATCAAACTAAACAATAAAATAAAAGAAAAATTTTATATCCAGAGTAAACAATCAAGATAAAAGAATGATAAGTTTATAAAGCTATTCTAGTTGCAACATTTCGTTCACATTGCAAAAGGGAGGGGCCTCTTTATTTGATTTATTAAATTAAATGACGTAAATCTTTCTAAACAACAATAACACTGAAAAAATGTGGTTAAGTTTCAAGCATCTCTGCATCTGTAGACTAATTTGATTATTATATATTGCACATATGACATGTTTTTGAAAAAATCAAGCATGAAAAGGGAATTCCGAATACTTCTGAATTAAAAATTATTTATTAATTATCTGTCTGTTTCGATTAAGAAGTGTGTGTTTTATTTTTTTTTTTTTGGGTGGGGGTGAGATGAACCACTCTAGTAAACTTCTCTGAATATCACTAAACTAATAAAAATTCAAAACATTCCTCCATGCAAGTGGTAATTTATTTATATCTGCGAATTTGTGTTTCTGTTGTTGAAGCCTCTTGTGTGATGCTATTTGTTTTTGTTAAAACTTTGCTAAAATTTCCATGAAATCCTTTTTTTTTTGAGTTCGTATAATATCAATCTATTAGTTGCATACGCTAGATATTTATCGTTAACTTGGTGCTGTACGTCACAAAAACCATGCATCATATGTGAAAACTTCTGTTTTTCTTTCTTAGAAATACTGATTTAGGAGCATGTTTGACAATAAAAAGAAATTATCTTAGTGCACTTGTCATATGGTGGAATATGAATTTTCAATCTTAACTGCACGTTATGCGCATGTTGGCTAACACCCAGGTCAGAGATTCCTACGCCTCAGTTCTAGTTGTCCGTAATTTTAGGCCACTGACCAGGGGGAAGGCTACCAGTGAGCAGCACCCTCCGCAACAAGGACTTTCTCCAGCTTTTTGAACCGAATAATTGGATTCATTGCCACTTTTATATCTCGCTCACAGCTGAAAGGGTATATCGAACCCTAGACCATTCGATCAACCGCCCGACACGCTAGACGCTAGGACCGGCCCTTGTCGTGTAGTCATTTTAGGTATATCTAACACTCTTAGTCACCTTTAAAAACGGCCACAGTGTTTATATACCATGAAATCCACTCAGCTGATAGTGAAGTAATAGAAAAACGAAACCTTGTTATTTCTGAATGTAACAACGATAGTGGTAAACCTGGAGAGTTTACCGATGTCATTAGACCTATTCAGAAAACAATCAACGAAAGTGCCTGGTTTACCTCACAGACTTTTTTTTTTTTTATCAGCAACATCATAACTCATCTTTTAGTCTTTAACTTTTACATTGACAGAGGAAGTTCGTGGGATTGGTTATGAATGAAATGAATTACGCTGGGTGAGATTTGCTTACTTAGAATGAAATGTGCCACTGGGCTTTCTTACATTTCATGACTAAAACTAATGTACCATATAACAACATCTCAGTCAAACAAGTATGTAATACTAGAACTATATGGATCTATTCAGATTTAAAACAAATTTCTCTAAAATATATGCATTTATGGATCCATAACTTCGTTAGTTGTATGGTTTCTAATAACCGGTGAGTTATAAAGAACAACTTAGAAAAAAAATCATTAATATTGCAATTAATTTCCACTTTACAGTTGGAGTCCCCTATGTATTTTACACACTAATCACTAGACAACGCTTGGGCCAGATAATTTAAGAGTTACACTGTTTAGAAAGAAAATAAAATAATAATTCCAATTTACGTTATAACAAAACTAACGTAGATAGAAATTAATCAAAATCACGGAAAATGACACATTTGATTATTCTATTCCCGCTTTCAGTATAAAATAACTGAAAAGACCCACTGACAAAATTGAACAAAATGAGGACTTCAATATTCAACTGGAGTACGTGAGCAGACTAGGACAAAGGTTCGTCTTCATGTTTGCGACGAGTGTCAGTTTAAGTTATTGAAAACTGTATGAAAATTATTTGATAAAGTACCAAATATTTTTTTTTCTTAGTTAACTCTTACCTCCTTTCAGCAAAACATATGTTATGTGTTTCTGAAGGTCGTATCGTGAGTACTTTTCTACCTGTAAAAGCTTTTGTCTATATTGGTTGCAAAGAGAGGTAATAAGTAATGAAGGTAATATCTGAGAAATTGAAGATTTTATCGTGCTATTGGTTGCAAACTAAGGTTAAAGGCTACAAGTAATCAAGGAAGAACGTGATTGGTTGAGGGCGCAATGGAATATTTTATTTATTTGTTGTTGTTAACACAAAGCTAAACAATGGGCTATCTATGCCCTACACACTGCAGTTATCGAAACTCGATTTTTAATGTCATGAGCCCTCAGGCTTGCCGCTGAGCTATCGGGGCGGTGGTTGAGGGCTGCAGTGGAAGAAACGTGTCTCTGTATTTTGTTTTCTATCGTGAGAATATTCTTGCATATAATTCACTGTGAACCTGGATAATATTTAAGTATGTAGGGTAAATGCCTTTTTTTAAACTGAAAGTGAAGAACTACTGTATTTTTTAAAATTATTTACAAACCCAATGAAGAGGGTAATTATAAAAATTGTGTTTTAAATGTTGACTATTATCAACATTTATTGCCCGAATTACCATCAAATTATGGAATGGTTATTAAGGAGAAACTGAGAACGTTTGTTGTCATGATTCGGAACAAATTAGAGATGGGTAAGAAAAATGTCATTTTTTGAACATACTTGTTTTGTAGATTTCTTCGCATAAATAACTTTGAGAGTATGTTGAATTTTTCTGTACTTTTTCAGGAAGGGCTAGAACACTACATTCTGAACAATCTAAGCCGTAGTTCTGTCTCATGGTTCATATTATGATTTTTAATATTTTATTGCAGATTATAATGTCTCGTCGCCAAACTGCTTGAATCCTCCTCGGGTGGCAGGGACGACGACGAAGACAAATACATTCGTAGGAAATGTCACATGGTTCACAATTTAAAGGTGAATAAACCAGGCTATTGGTACTTATGCTGCTAATGTGATAATGTAACCTGATTCATAATACCATAATAATATTTATAAATTTAACTAACTAAAGTTGCAAGTAATGTAGGTTACACCACAAATCATATAACCTGTTGTAATAATAATAAAAAAACTATATCTGAAAATATATAAACTTCTTATAAAGCGTATTAGAATTTCAATTAGAACTAAAATCTGTGTAATATGTATTTTGCTTCACTATTTGCTTCACTATTATAACGTAACAGTTTTTATAGAAAATATTGACAGACTCAAGCTTAAAACGCTGAGTTTAATGTTAGATGTGTTGAAGAAGATATACTGACGTATGTATTATATATATATGTTACGACATCAAACCCCAAAATAGCAATTATATTATATTAAAATAAATAATAAATGTTAATGTTATCTATAGTTTAGAAAATGGTAAGAGAGAGAGAGAGATTCTCTATATTGTATAGATGTAACTATACATTTAACAAAGCTCACGCTCACCTTGGATGTTTTCAGCATCGCATTCTGATGACACCAGCGTTGATATATATTGCTGTAATGCAGGAAAAGCGAAACTAGTGAGTCTATAATTTTTAAAATATTTGTTAATTATGATATATTTGCCCATAGATCGATAGAATAATACTTACATGAATGAGGTTTTCATTAAGAGTTAGTACAGAGTTTACTACCATTCATCTTAAGAGTCACTGTAACTCATTCTCGTGATTTTTACTTTCAACGATAACTCCGCCCACCTTTCCAACTACGCATTTCCATTTGGTTGGCCTATAAGAGAGAGTGCTCTGGTTCATTTATCCGCTCAGTTTGGTCGACGGACTTCATCGAAGATTCTTTAAACAGGTTCTTTTTAACATGATAGGCTCACACTACTTGTGTTCCACTTCCGTATCTGTCTCCAATTCTATAATATTCGGAGCAAGCGGACTAAGAACAAACCCTCAAGCGAATTCTTCGTCATCAGATTGACTAATTCAGACCAAAAAGAGATGGTGTAAGTCAACCTGAAAAACTGATACTGTAAATATGACACTTTTGTTACAGTTACGTAAGTCCAAGATTTCCAGGATGCACAGTCAACAAGCCGGTCTCTTTTTACAAATAACAACTTATATAAAAATACGATATAGTAACCTACATTTAAAGGAAAGGTTTTATTTTATGAAGATACGAATTAAGCAAGTTGAGTTACGATTAATTCTTCCGGTGATGTTATTATTAATGCATAAAATGAAAAGTTTCTTGTCTGTCCACATATGTCACTCCTTCGTTTCACATATCTATAAATACTCTGTACCTCTTTTTCAATCTTTACTACTGTTACTTCAATGTCTTCAAAATTAGCTCTCCAACAAATAAAATAACTGTCAGTTATTGCTTTTGTGGAGTCTCGAAGCTTTTTTGTTGTTGTTGTTGTTTTAATAGGCTGGTGTAATAAAACGAAAAGCCTCAAGGAATGAAAATTACACATACAATTAAAAACTTCAGAGAAAAAGAGTTCTTCATCTGAAGATATTCAATTTCCAATTAAATTTATTATTTTTTTACAGTACACAACAATGTGGAGAGACACTTTCATTGTTTTATTTTGTAATTTTGTTATTTTCAGAACAATTCTATTTTACATACAAGTTTTATGACATAACAGGAACTTCTCACTGATTCAAACTTCTACTTTCGTCAGACATTTGTAGCTTCGATGTCGTTATGTTGTCTATTCATTAGTCCATTATTGATATTGTGACGCACGCATTGGTGAACTAATTTCAATCTTGATATTGTGACGCACGCATTGGTGGACTAATTTCAATCTTGATATCATGACGCATATAATGACCAATCACTCCCAAGTATGCTTTCATGGCGCAGTAATAAACAGGCTGTTCCACCTCCACAGTGGTGGATTTTTGAAGGAAATTTTCACGTATCTATGTTAGGGCACCGCACATTGGTCAGCATATTCTATTAATAATGTAAGAGCATCGTGTATTGGTTAGCTTATCATACAGATAATTGAGCGCATTATAAAAAAACGATTTTGAATATGTAAATAAGCAAGTCACATAAAAGCCACAGCCAATATATGTTGATGTTACGTAAGTAGTGTGCTCGCTTTTTGGAATGCTATGTAATAGCGCATTCCAAGACAAACTATAAAACACTCAGGTCATAAAGATGTATTCAGACGAGAATTTAAGATTTACAAGACGAGGATATATCCTGTACTTGATGCCATTGGAAAACAAAGGAATACTGATAAACTTGCGGAAGCAAGGCTATTCAAAAAGAAGCCCGCAGCAAACTGTATCCCAGCCGTGGTAAGGAAAGGGTGACGTCATTTAACAAGTCAGAACACACGAACACAAATGTTCAATGACAAAATCTGTCCACGTGTTCGAGACAATATAATGAAGATGAATCTTCGTCTGAAAAAGCGATACATGTCACGTGTGCACATGTTGCTTACAACATATGTATTCAACCATCACATACTTCAAGCAGCTGGAGGATGAAACTAGTATTTATGCTATCCCACATGAAGACATACCAATCAAATCGATAGATGCTACGCAAATGTATTTTTGTGCGATTGGACTATTGAAATGAGTGCTAATAGAATACCATCACCATATACTAGATGGATTATGGAAAGCACACATAGAGGATTTCTGTGTACTGAATATGACAGTCTTATGACAGAGCCTTTTGCTATGGAAAATATGTTGCAAAGCTACTGACAAGATACACGATCGTCATATAGAGCATGAATGGACGTGTATACATGGATTGTAATGACGTGGTGAGGCTCCAAAATAATTTTATTATAACATGCTAAACCTATGTATTCATGATACAAGGGTGTACAGATGAGGTAGATTCAATATGTATCTAACAGTATATAATATTAATTCTATCAAAGATAGAAAGTTGATCTTTTTATTTAAACATGTCATTTGAACTCTTGCCTTTAAGATAACAGGTTGTTTTGGATAATTCCTATTTGTACATAACAACAGTTAGTATCTCATTTTGCATGATTATTTGTTTATAATGAATTAATGTAACATCACATGTTGTTGTGTGTCAGGTACGTCTGCTGTCACAAAAAAATACAAAATATGGTGATTAATAAATAATGAATACATTTATTGAAAGACTAGTGATGAAAGTTTATGTTCCTATAATTCTTTTTCATACCAAATGTTTAACGTAGGCTCCACGTTTACCAATAACAGCTTGCATTCAGACTGCTATGTTGTTTATCAATTTATACAATGTTTGTAGGGGGATGTTCCAAATCCCTTGGCGGATATTATCGTTGAGATCAATAACAGTCCGAGGCTTGGGGTTAGCATAAATTCCGTCTTTTAGATAACCCCACAAAAAGAAGTCTGAAGGTAACAAATCAAGTGAATATGGAGGCCATTCCATATCCTCATAAAGAGAAATCAGTCACTCTTAACCATGAAATGATTGAGGAGTTTTACCTTCTCGAACTATGTAAACAGCTTTGGCGAAGAAGTGGGGGTATTCGCATGAGAACACACTAGTTCCAGCAGGATGGGACAACTCCTCATACAGATAGGGAAAGGAGGTGTCATCTTCGTGAAACATTCCCAGACTGACTGATTTCTTTTTATATGCTGTTGCACTTCGTTCTGCTGCCATAGTGAGGGTGCAGACAGCTTTCTCTATTCTTCCAGAGAGTCTTGCCCTCATGATGTCAAGAATCTTCAACCCTCCATGCATACATGTCTCTGTCCCCACCATAGCATCCAGTGAATACTCGTACCCCTCTCCATCGGTTCTGAGGTGCAGAATCATTCTTCAGTTACACACTCAATCACTGGAATCTTTTTTGTCTGACAGCTACATGCCCAATCGACTCATGGCAGGATCCATGGATGTCAATAGATCTTTTTCTAATAAACAAAAATGTCATGCCAAAAATAAAGTGGGATCTCCACCCAGTTCACATACTACTAAATAATAATGGCCACTTTGATACAGTGCACCTGTCGAGGTTTCCATTCTAATTTAGATGACATTAAGGTCTAGTTTGACTTTTACCATTCTTTGTGTCTCTTCTTACAGGAAAGATTCCTTGGACCTGCCAATACTTTCACCTTTCAGTGATTTTCTTTGTATAGAAATGACAGGTTGTGTGATGGAAGAGTTAATGGGGTGTGACACTGCTAGTTGACCAGCATGCACCCACCATGTCTGTGCCACTCACTACTGTTGCCATCCGTGTCTCCATGGGTTGTACCGTCACAATTTGTTCTCTTTATCTGTCTTTAGAAGAAAATGATATTCCAGCAAGCCTTGATGATCTTATTGAACAGTGGTCATCTCCATTTTTCATCTTGGGATACTTTGATGGATGCAATCCTCTCAGTGGTAGTGCTGTTATTGATAGTTATTGAATGGCCCCGACCTCTCTCTCTTCAGTGATGGTTCATATACATATTTTCACACAACTAATCAGTATTTTACTGCTATTGATCTGTCCATTTCTTCTTCTTTTCCTTATTTTTCTTGGAGGGTAGAAAATATCCCTTGGGGTAGTGATAATTTCCCTATCATTCTGAGGGATATTGGCTGTGGTCGATGCCACCCAACTCATATGCCACAGTGGAAACTAGAACAGGCTGACTGACTCTCCTTCACCATTCTCTCAGAACTTGATCCTGCTGTCCTTAGTCTTCCCACTATTAATGACTGCATAGAAGCAGTAACTGATTGTACTGTCGAAGCAGCTGTTTGTATGATCCCCCAAATCTCAACTATTTCCCACAGTATCCTCGTCCATGGTAGACTCCTGACTGCCAACAGATATCCCACTCTTAACACCCACATTGCCTTTCAGCAGGTTCGTGCCCATGCCTGGCAGGTCAGACACCAAAGCCAGAAGAATTCTTGGATTAAGTTCACTACCTGCATCTCTTCTATCACCAGTTCAAAGGTTGTTTTGGGATAGGATTCGGAGTTCAATGGGAAGTATGCTTTGAATCCCCTTTTTGATCTTGTTCTCCAAAGTCCAGGAATTTGTTGATATACAGGACATTGCCGACACCCTTGGTGTGTGCTTTTCTCAAATTTCCAGAACTTCCGTGTCTTCCTCTGCCGTTTTTGTCATCAAGTCACAGGCCGATAGATCGCCACTTTCTCTTGAGGCAGATAGTCTCTTTGACCATAATCAATTATTTATGCTGGTAGAACTTAAAATTGCTCTACATTGGTCCGGCAGTAAATCAGTTGTACCTGATGATATTTATTATGAGATGATTCACTATTTATCTCCTGTTTCTCTTGCTCTTCTTCTGGCTGTTTGTAACCATATTTGGCAGGAGGATGTTTTTTCCAGATACATAGCAAAAAGGCTATTGTCATCCTTTTTTCTAAGCCTGGGAAGGATCTCAAGACTCCTTCTAATTATCATCCTAATGCTTTGACTAGCTGTCTCTGTAAGGCTTTGGAGAGGACAG